CAATCAATCAATCAATCAATCAATCAACTAAGTGATTTTTAAAAAATCTATTTCTGAACAGCACTTTTGGGGCATAACTTTGTCATACAAGAACAGAACGTGGATTTCAAAGATATTATTTGATGTTCATCTGAAGTATGCACGCATAAAGGAGAATATTTGTAGCTCAGGATTGACATGACAGGTTCTTGGTGATCTCTGAGTTTGCTTGATTTCTTGCTAACGTTTCATTATCCTAACTAGGTAACATCACTAGGTAACTGATGATGTTACCTAGTCAGAGTGATGATGTTCATCCATCGTGTTCGAAGAGGACCGTGACATATAACAGGTTGTGGGCTGTCCACGATGTGTTCCCAGGTGGCTGGTAAGGCCTATACGGGCATGAAATGTTCTGCTACATGTCGGTTGAAGCTTTTGCAGCTCTGGCTTTGCGGAGTGCTCATTTCTTTTGTGCTATGGTTGTTCTTCTGTCTTCCAATATGTGGCAGCCTTAGTGGATCAGTGTCTGCCATGTTGATCGATCTTGTACCAGGGTTTCCCAGGAGGAAAACCTAGTCAGAGTAACGAAACGTCGGCAAGAAAACAAGCAAACTCAGAGAGCACCAAGGACCTGTCATGCATGTATGAATGTATGTATGTGTTGAACAAATGTATCATCTACCAAAAGCACTCAAGGTATCAGACAGAAAGAAAACCCAAAACAAAATTATATTCCATAGCAAAACAAGTAGCAATTGAAGTTCCACATCTGAAACACAACTGTTCAACTTCTCCGTATTCCTTCTTATCTCAATTGTGGTGCTGTTACATTTGCAGGCAGGTAAGATCTGATCTGCCTTCGGAGAATAAAGGAAAAATGGTAAACTAAATTTACAAAATTTTAGCACTATTTGGACATTGGAACTAGAAATTGTCTCTGCACAAAAAATATGCACTACTATTACGGTGAGGTTTTGGTATTTCAAGATAATTACAATGTGCAAATCAGCCTAAATACTGAAATGGATGATGTCATCTTTATGCCAAGGTGAATACATGTTTTAGGCAGTAGACTTACTCTTTTAATGTACTGTACCACCTCTTGAATATATGAGCGAATCATTTCTGTCTTCTCCCTGAGAGGAAAATGAAAAATGATTAATCCCATTTATTTTTTAAAAAAATTGGTTACTGGTTTTCTGCCACAAATAATTTGTTTATAAGATAATTGGTAAACTTCACTAAGAGAAAATCAAAGCCAAATTTTACATATATTGCCCTGGGTATTCTTCATCAGATTTCAAAATGGTTTAATCCTTTATTTCAAAGGGATTGTGTGCTCTTTGTCATGTGCTATTATGGGTGTCATCATGATTGATTTTAAACTGCCTTGAGGATGATTCAGACAAGAAATAAGATAAGCTCTTCTAAATAAAGGAAAAATAATGCACATCCACTGTGGGAATCTATGCTACTTGATAGAGTCCAGACATCACAGGATTCATTCCAAAATGCCTCCCTGCCTACGCAGGGTTTATTCTTTTTATACAGTTTTTACCAGCAAAGCAATAAGCATACAGCAACAGCATTGTAATGGGCACATTCTCCTTGTCAATCTCTAAGAACATCCCACCCAGGGTAGAATCTCACATAGCTCAATAGTTCCTGTTAGTGCCTGGTTCTGCTAATTAGGTGAGCTCATAGGAATCTGAGGTAACCAGTTACTGAGATCATGGCAGTTTGCTGCGCATGTCTTTATCTAACCTTTCCTATATCCCTACAGCTACTGTTCTGCCTGTTTTGTTTAATATAATCTGTGGAGATCCGTAGTCAAACATCTATCTATCTATCTATCTATCTATCTATCTATCTATCTATCTATCTATCTATCTATCTANAGCCGACATTGGCTGGTGGATAGAATCCGGAGGAGACCTAACCTGTGAGATCTAATCGGTCTATGGGAGGTAATCGGCAGGAGGCGGTCTCTCAGGTACCCAGGTCCGATGCCATGTAGGGCTTTATAGGTAGTGACCAGCACCTTGAAGTGGATTCGGAGACTAATAGGTAGCCAGTGCAGCTCGCGGAGGATAGGTGTAACGTGGGTTTACCTTGGTGCACTGACAATCGCTCGCGCGGCTGCATTCTGGACTAATTGGAGTCTTCGAACACTCTTCAAGGGCAGCCCCATGTAGAGCGTGTGTCAACAACATTGACACACCCTAGATTCCGCTGAAGATGCTACCTAGCCTAGTAACGAAACATTCGGAAACCATCCCATAAGCTCGGAGAACAAACCTCCACCTTCATCCTACACCCGAGCTACAGATATTCGCCACTATCGCAAAGGATTGAGATTCCCCCCCACCAGCCCGATGAGCAACAGGGAGGCATCCTGCATTTTCCAAGTCACACTTTCAGCTTGCAATCTCCGAAGGCGTCCCTGCTTTTAGCAGAGATGGGGGCCACCATTTGCACCTCTTCTTCCATCGTCTGCCTTTCGATAGATGTTTTTTCTTTGAATGGAAGATGGCCTCCACCACAGGGCTTAAGAAAAAAGGAGAGAAAACACCCTTGTTTTCCTAACAGCCAGTACAGTAATGGTCGAGCCCATCCCTTCTTTTCTTCCAATTCTTTTAGGATGATGCTGATTTTTTTTTTCATCAATGTCATAGCTGTGGCTGGAATAGATTTTGGCAGATGTTCACCGCCTGAAGAAAGATGAAGAACAAATGCCGGATCTGACTTGATTTGAGTTGTCAATGGAACAACTCAGCCGGCTCTGCTAATGAACCCTTGTCCTATCTCACGACAAGCAAGTAGCCGTCGCAATTTGTCTTGGCCTTTGCGGCTCTTGACAAAGCCAGAAGTTGAGAAAGGAAAGGTTTTCCCAGAAGATGAATTTTTGCAGGCTAAGCCTCAAAAGATGCGACTCGTAGAAGATACACTATCAGGCTGCAAGAGAATGAAATGGTGAAGGAGAAGGCTTGGCAGAGCCTGAGGGTGGAGTCAAGTGGGGAATTAGCCTAGAATCGTTGCATTCCCACAAATGGTTTAAATTCAACCCCTTTTCATTTCCACTGATCTAGCACCGATTTAGTACTGACTATTAGTTGACTAGATTGTTGTGTATGGACATAAGCAATAAATCAGCTGAACTGGAGCCTAGTGCGTGGTTCTGACTCATGGTCTCTTGTGTGGTGACCACCTTGTGGGTTGAGGTCTTCCATAAAGGTCAAATAACAATTACCCTGAACTATGATAAAGTGGATTATGGAAGATTTGAGTCTCAATGGGGTCAACAAGGGACGCGGTGGCTCAGTGGCTAAGACACTCAGCTTGTTGATCAGAAAGTTTGGCAGTTCGGTGGTTCAAATCCCTGGCACCACTTAATGGAGTGAACTCCCGTTACTTGTCCCAGCTTCTGCCAACCTAGCAGTTCGAAAGCATGTAAAAAATGCAAGTAGAAAAATAGGGACCACCTTTGGTAGGAAGGTAACAGCGTTCCGTGCGCCTTCGATGCTTAGTCATGCCAGCCACATAACCACGGAGATGTCTTTGGACAGTGCTGGCTCTTCGGCTTTGAAATGGAATTGTTATTAGCTCAATGGAATACACATGAATGATGGGAACACAGATGAATGAATTCAAACCTAGGAGCACATCTACTAGGAGAAAGGTTTCAATTTTGGTGCAAAGAGCAGCAAATAAACTTCACCCTCTGTGATATCCCCAAATTGTTTGCTTTGTTTCCTTGCTTTTGATTAACCTTCGCTTCGGATCCCTTTCTTTAATTCGATTTGATGGTGGCCAGTGTTATCAATTTAGGATTTACTCCCTAGGACAAAATTAAATAGCAAATGAAGTTTTCTGTTATTAGACAAGCCAGAATTGCAAGGAGTGAATGTTCACTGCTAACAGAGTGACGCAATGGTTAGAAAGCAGGATTGCAGGCTGACTCTGCCTACTGCCGGGAGTTTGATCCTGACTGGCTCAAGGTTGACTCAACCTTCCATCCTTCCTAGATCTGTAAAATGAGAACCCAGATTGTTGGGGGCAAGAGGCTGACTCTGTAAACCGCTTCGAGAGGGCTGGGAAGCACTTGGAAGCAGTATATAAGTCTTATTGCTATCTGCCCTTTGGCAGAACTGATTCTGGAGGGTTGCAGAAATGCCGAATGCCGCACCAATCTCAGTTAGTCGAAAGCTGCTGTGACGTAGCTTAATTTCCCACCTTCGTTGCACACCATGATGAAAACTTGATGGGATCCTTATGCACACAGCCGTGCTAGGTTTCTGCTCTCGTGCTTCATGTCTGATGCTACATGGGCTATTGAGCACAAACTGAGGCTGATCCTTTAATCTAATCTACTGCTGTAAATAAAACCTTTCTGGAAGAACCTTCTGAGCAGAGAATTGCAAAATTTACTGATTCGTGCTTGTCAAATGAGAAGGGCTTGGGTGTTAATTCGCTGCGTGGAATTCTGGATATGAATCGGCAGCGACTCCATACGCTTTGAAACGCATATTCATCTATCTATCTATCTATCTATCTATCTATCTATCTATCTATCTATCTATCTATCTATCTATCTATCTATCTATC